GGGGGGCGCCTGGGGAGAATTGAAAATAGTGACGTGCCCTGCACAGTGTAAAGCGGAGAACAGTTTCCTAGCATTTTAATTCCTATGAGAGGTGGGGCTCTAAAAGTTCGTGGAAACATAGAGCTCAAAGATAATGGAACTTTTCCACGAAACTTTGGAAGCCGTCTTGTGGTTGAGATGTGGCTAGGCTATAACAGGAATGTCCCACTTGGGAATAGGTGTCGAGAAAGTTCCAGAGTCTTGGGCCTAGAAAGGGCTTCCTCTACTGGGAAGATAGTAAAGAATAATTGACACGCTCACCTTTTGAAAAGTTTGAAAAATGTTTTCATTTTGTGTGTGTGTTTTGGGCACTGTTTGAGGCTGAAAGCAGCCCAGCTTTGTGGAAAAAAGAGAAAAAAAACTACAGCAACAGAGAAGTCTGCATCCCAAGGTTTTTCAAGTCCCCGGCTCCCAGCTCCGGAGCCCCTGTGCTGGCACAGTTCCAGTGTGTCCTTCTGGAAAGTGTGACCATACACACAACCGTCTTTTTCTTTGAACACCAAAATATGATCACACTGTACCAGCTCTGCTGCAACTTGCTTTTTAAATTGGACCGTTTGGGGTTTTTTAAAAACCATTTTGTCAGGAGCTAATCCAGATACACCTCCTTCCATCGTTCCGAGAGCACAACAAGCAGTCTTGCACAATGAGTTTGTCCCACAATGAATTGTAAGACATTCTCTCCCTTCTAGAACGCAACATCAGCTCCCCCTTACTCTCCTTTCCCCACTGTCCCCCTCAGGGGCGCTGATTCCTCGGGCTGTCTCTATCACCACGGCCCATATTGGAAAACACCGTCACCACCGTCCTCACCGCACAGTGAAGTCGCACGCCCACCAGCTGTCCGTCTCCTCCTCCCCGTGCCCGCCCTGCCCTGCTGTCCTTGTTGTCTTGGCGAGTCGAGCCGCTCTCGGGGTTTTTCTCGGCTGCCGTCTTTATGGACAGGAGCCCAGGTGGCACAGTGGTGAGGTGTCTGCGTCCGCCTGCTAACTGCAGCATTGGGGGCTGGCACGCAGTAGCTGCTCCAAAGTTCCTCAGATGACTCTGTGGTGCAGGTTTAAGGCTATCTACGTTAAATGTGTCCTTCTTAACTATTTTTTGTTGTTGACATTCTTGTAGATGGAATTATTTGCCTAATTTTATTTGGGTTTTGATTCTTCATTGCGAGTGGGTGGAAATACAGCAGGGTTTTGTATATTGCTCTTGTCTCCTGTAAGCAGCTTGCCGAAGACTCCTTTGTATGCCCATGACATTTAGAACTTCCTTTCAGAGGCAAATGGTATTTCACAGGGTAGAAGTGCTATGATTCATATAACCAGCCCCTTGATGGACATCTTGGGCTGTTGTCGCCTTTTTTTTTGCTGTTTCCGATAGTGCTCCAGAGAACATTCCTACTGTCACTCATTTGGGGCACGCGTACTGAGTACTGTGTCAGGTACCCTTTGAGGCACTGAGGATACAGACGATGAAAAGGACAAGATGATGACTTCAGCCAGGGAAAATCACTGTGAAGAAAATAGAAGCAGATGATGCTCTAAAGCAGCAGTTCTCAACCTGTGGGTCTCGACCCCTTTGGGGGTCGAACGACCCTTTCACAGGGGTCGCCCGATTCAAAGCAGTAGGAAAATGACAGTGATGAAGTAGCAACGAAAATAATTTTGTAGTCGGGGGTCAGCACCACATGAGGAGGTGTCTGAAAGGGTCGCGGCCTGAGGAAGGTGGAGACGCACTGCTCTACAGTGACCAGTTGTGGTTGAAGTTCTTCGGATTGGGGCACCAGACATTCTTTCTGGAGAGGTGACTTTTGAGTTGGTATCCAAAGGATGAGAAAGAACCCACTGGAGACAGATGGGAAAGAGTGTTCCAACCACAGGGAATAGGCTCTGCGGGAACCGATTACATGGAACTGTGTGTGACCTCCTCCCTGGGGAACAGACAACCGAAAAGTGGATGAAAGGAGACGTCGGACAGGGCAAGATATGACAAAATACCCATTTATAAACTATCAAGGGCTCATGCGGGAGGGGGGAGCGGGGAGGGAGGGGAAAAATGAGGACCTAATGTCGGGGGTTTCAATGGAGAGAAAATGTTTTGAGAAACGATGTATAAATGCGCTTTACACAATTGATGTGTGTATGGATTGGGATAACAGTTGTATGAGCCCCTAATAAAATGTTTAAAAAAAAAACAAATAGGCTCTGCAGTTGGGAGGAGCTTGGCTTGTTCACAGTGTGGGTGGAGAGCCGCCGTAGCTAGAGGACAGGTGGGCAGGCACTGGGATAGCTGGGGTCACGGCCTTAATAAGGCATTTGGGCTTTGTTCCTGATGTGAAGGGACGCTGATGGCGGCGTTAGGCAATGGAGTGACTATCTCTGCTCCTAGAAGATCACTCTGGTTTACTTAAGAAGCATTTATGTTCCCTTGCTTGTGCCAACATTCCCAACGATGAGTTCTTAGAAGTGGAATGACTGAGACAAGTTTGGAGATATCAAATGTCCCTGGATGCTGCCAGCTGCCTCCCCAAAAGACAGCTCTGGGTCCTGTTCTGAGGGTACGGGCTCTTGCAGGTTTCGGCCTCCTGCAGAGCGAGGAACTGAGCAGGCTCCCGTGGCCCCTGCGCTCACTCTTGTCCTTGTTTCCCTCGCAGGACCTTCGAGACTGTGCTTGCCCAGGAATTCTGGCTGTGTCCCTTATCCCTTGGGTAAAACGGACACCCCAGGAACATGGCAGACGAAGACCTCATCTTCCGCTTGGAAGGCATTGATGGCAGCCAGACCTCCCGAGCTGGCCACAATGGAAATTCTGAGGCAGACAGCGACGATGAGGAAGGTTACTTCATCTGCCCTATCACCGATGACCCCAGATCTAACCAGAATGCTTATTCCAAGGTTGATAACTACTACCGCCACTTAACAGAGAGTGAGCAGTATGGGTCCAGCGGGTCCCCGTCCAGTTCCTTCCAGGTTAAGGTGAGTGGCCGCCCTGCCCCCAGCCTCCCACACCCTGGCTCGCCTGCCGTAAGGGATGGGGATTTCCTTTTGCTAGTTGCCAAATCGGGGTCTTCCCTGTGTTCCAGACCCTTGCCAGCACCGTCATTCAGAATCTGAGTATGTATTGAAACTGGGAGGATGTTGGTTGTTGACAACCAGTTTCGTTATTTTAGGACAGAGTTTTTCAAACAGCTGCTCAGGACCCACTATTAGGCAGTGAAAACCCTTTAGTGGGTTTTGTCCAGCTTTTGAAAAAGAAAGAAGTGTAACTGAAGAGAACAGAAAATATCAAAGAGCATTGCAAATGCTGAAGATCTTAATTCTTGAACATCTATATATAAAGGTAAGTTAAAAAAATGTATATATCGCTTTTAGGGTTCTAGTTCGTGCACAGGTTGCTCGCATCCAGGCAAAGCGTGTCGCGTGTTTCTGGGATCAGTGTGTGGCTGCAGACAAGTTCTCTCAGGAACACCCTTGTTTTAGTCTCTTTAGGGTGCCTTCATTCAAGGAAGAAATGAATCAAAAAGTTCCAGTCAGCACGGCTCCAGGGGGATCTGCCGGGCCAGTTCAGTTTGAGGTAGAGAGCCCAGCTATGACGAAATCATCTTGGTCATTTCTAGGAAGGACACAAGACAATCATGGGGACTTATTAGGAAGAATTCTTTTGTTTTCTTTTCAAGGGAAAATTGTATTCGTCAGAAGGTCAGAAAGGCTGGGCCAATGAATGTTTTTTCCCATCACAACCGTGCACTTGCTCATTCTTTGAGGAAGTCCTGTCCTAGGAAAATTTCATTGGCAAGCCTAGCCCCCAGCCAACCCTCCCACTCTGATCTTGCCCCTTCAGACTTCTTTTTTTTACATAGCTCCATTGCTATATACTTCACATATCATACAATTAATCATTCAGTCATTTTAAGAAGATGTGTGCAACCATCACCACAATCAACTTCAGAACATTTTCAATAGCAATAATAATATATAATTGATCAAGAATTCACAGGGATGGGAGGGTTGGGGAGGGAGGGGCAAAAAGAGGAGCGGATACCAAGAGCTCAAGTCGAAAGACAATGTTTGGGAAATGATGGTGGCAACATATGTCCAAGTGTGCTTAAGACAATTGAATGACGGATTGTTATAAGATCTTAAGAGCCCCCAATAAAACCATTAATAAAAATTTCAGAACATTTTCTTGTACTCATCCCCATCTGCCACCATTCTCCCCTGCCATGCCCCTAGGTTAATTGATTAGTCCAGTGACTGTCTCTCTACAGGTCTACCTATCCTGGATTTCAGACACAGAAAATCATACAAAACACAAACAGGGAGCAAACAAATAAGAAACAAACAACAAAGACTAGACAGCACAGAAAAACCTCAACTGAAAAGAAAGCGGAAAATATTAAAAACGGAAACAATTTTAAAATGGATCAAAGTGATCAAATGATAGTGTCACACTGTAACCTAACCACATGTGCCATCGTCAATTGACAAGACTCTTTCCCACTTCTTTTTGTTCCCCAAACTCAGAGAACATCTCAAACAGCGGTTCTCATCCTGGGGGTTGTAACCCCATTGGGGGTCGGACGACCCTTTCACGGGTTGCCCGATTCATGACATTAGCAGAATGACAGTGGTGAAGTAGCAACGAAAATAATGTTATGGTTGGGGGGTCACCACCACATGAGGAACTGTATGAAAGGGTCGCGGCCTGAGGAAGGTGGAGAACATAATTAGAGCCTCTCCGGGAAACCAGAAGTACTGCTTTGACACAAGGTGAGCCAGATTCCCTGGGGAAGGGTGAGAGAGAGAGAGAGAGAGAGAAACTCCACCTTCAGGAGTGTACAGACCTCCGGGAAGACAGGCTGAGAAACCATAACTTCGTAGTTTGGTGTTTTAGTTTAATAAAGGCGCCTAAGATTTTTTACCAATACTTTTGACTTGCCCTCAGACACACACCTACACTTGTTACCATGTCAATCGCTGCTTCCCAGCATTCCAGCATTGAAAAAGAAAATGAAACACACACACACAAAGCTGAAGCCTCATCATCCTCACTCCCAAGGAGCATCCTACTTGTAAAGAGCAGTTTGCATTTACGGAAACATAGGTACAGGTGTTACCCAGAAGTGTGGCGATCCTTTTAGGTACTAGCATCTTATGATGTCCCAGTGTTGCCATTATCCCTGCCTATGCGTGTCTGTGGGCACAGAGATGTGATGCCAAATGTAGTTCTTTGTGGTGGCCATTCTCAAAAAAAGCAAGTTTAGAGTTAGATAGTCTTCTCCTAAGTACTTGCTTCCTGCCAGATTTATGTACACACCATCTGCTAAGGTTTCCTAGGCTGTTGTAACACAATACCACAGAGTGAGAGACTTTAAAACAAGTTTATTGTCTCTGAGTTCTGGAAGCTCCAAGTCATGGAGTCAAAGAATCAACAGGGCTTGTTCTCTCTGAAGGCTTTAGTGGAAGATTACATCTTCTCTCCTCCGGCTTCTGGTAGCCTCGGGCAATCCTTGGCTTTCCGCTGCAGGCTACCTCCAATACTGTCTCTGTCTATCCTGGGCTGCCTTTCCTCTTGTCTCTTTCAGTTCCCTCTGTCTTCTCTTTTCTGAGGACTCCACCCAGATTGGATCAGAACCCGTACTATTCTAATATGCATTCATGTTAACTGATAACGTGGCCAAAGACACTGTGTCCAAACAGGGTCACACTCGCAGTTGCCAGGCATCACCACTTCAACCTATCTGTTTGGGAGGTGACAATTCATTCGGTTGCAAAACTGAACATCACTGGACTTTTACATAATAACTGGTGGGGGAGGCAGTGGGGAAGAGTTTTAAAATGCCATGCTGTTGTGCTTATTTAATTTAATCCCCACAAACAGTAATCATTGGTCAGAGCTAGAAGTGAAATAAATGTTTCCTAACCACTCTGGCATCTGAAATTAGAAACATTCTTCAATAACTTCAGACTTAGTATTTAACAAATTAATAATTTGGCTCTGTACAGGCAGGTGGGCGTATTTTTTTCATCTGTGGAGCCAGAGCACTAGCTTAAGGCCCTCTGGAACAGGTAGTTCCAGAAGCAGACTGACAGGCCCTTTCTGAGGTTGGGCCCCTGCAGGGTCAAGTTGAGGCCTGCCCCACCTTCCCAGCCCACAGCAGCTTCTGCAATGCATGCCCAACCTGGGGATGGCAGTGGGGCAGGAGTCGGCCTCCTGTCTTTCATTTTTCGCTCTTGAAGGTTCCGGGAGAGGCTGATCCTTGCAGTGTCAGGTGTCTTTGTGAGGGAATTCATGTGCCAGTGGGAGGCATGGCTCACGAAACAGAAACCAGCTCCTGCCAGCTCAAGGGAAAGTGGGGATTTATTTTGGTAATGACCCAAGGGTGTTTCTTGGGACCCATGAATAGAAACAGTGATCCTCAAGGGACAGATCCCAGAACTGGGAAGACAACAGGATTGATTGGTCCCCTCTTGTTTCTCGCTCTCTCTCTGTTGTGGTTATGGTTAGCTGCCATCACATTGGCTCCTGACTCACGGTGACCTCATGCACAGCTGAACAAAACGCAGCTTGGCCCTGGGCCGTCCCCACCATCAGTTGTGGAGGGGACGATTGTGACCCACAGGGTTTTCATTGGCAAACCTCCCTAAGTTGATCACGCGGCCCTTCTTTCTGGTTCCTCTTAGTCTCAAAGCTTAGCAACAGACAAGCCTCTGACAGATGCGCTCATACCTTTTGTTTTTAAACCTTTAAGTGACATTGTGGTTTTCAAAACTTTAAATTGTTTTTTGCAGGGGCTGGGGGAAGAGTGATGCCCCATATTGTACATCATCTGATTTAATTATTTCATCTCTGAAATAATTAAATTGTTGATCCAGCTGGAAAGAAATCCCTGGCACACTTAATTACTTTTTTCATTTAGGATTTATTGGTTTATTGGTTTATTGGTTCAGATTTTTGAAGATTGTTTTCTTCACGTTCAGATTAAATCCATACCGAAGGTTATATATAGTCTTTCACCTTCATCATTAGTACTTGGAGTCATCTTCAAGCAAGGTTTTGTCACCGCACAGCACTGGTTGTTCGCAAGTCTTCCTCTAACCCTGAAGCCACATTCTTCATCACATGCATAGCTGGCTTCTCAGTGAAACTTGGAAACAAAGAACAGTAGTTGGAAAATATGGCTTGGTGAAAGAAATGACACTGGAGATTGCATGTTAGCATTCAGCAGGACCAGTGACTTATTAATTGGAAGTATTTTTTTCCAACAACACAGTCACTAACTATGCATGTGGATCTCTCACTAGATGGCCTATACAGACATCAAATTGACTGTATTTGTGGAAAGGGACAATAGAGAAGCTCAATGTTATCCACTGAGACAAAGCCAGGGACCAACTGCAGAACAGACTCTCTATTGCTCATGTGCAAAGTCAAGTTGAAGCTGAAGAAAAGTAAAGCCAGTCCAGGAGAGCCAAAAGATGACCTTGAATACATCCCACTGGAATTTAGACCAGATCTGACATGCTGAACTCTAGTGACTGAAGATCAGACTAGTTGTGGGATGGCATCAAGGACATCATGCATAAAGAAAGGGAAAGGTCATTAATAAAGACATAAGAGAAAAGTTCAAAGTGGATGTCAGATCGACTCTGAAACTTGCTCTTATGGACAGAGTTGTTAAAGCAAAAGGAAGAAATGATGCCGTGAAAATGCTGAAGGGCAGCTCAAGAAGACCAGCTAAAGTATTGCAATGAAAGGTACTAAGGCTTGGAGTTAGAAAACCAAAAGGAAAGGATATGTGTGACATTTCTTAAGCTGAGAGAACTGAAGAGATAATTCAGGCCCCAAGTTGCACTACTGAGGAATTCTAGGGGCAAAATATTGAACGACAGAGAAAACATTAAGAAAAAGTTGGAAGGAATACACAGAGTCACTGCACCGAGAAGAATTAGTCAACATCCTACCCTTTCAGAAG